TTCATATTCTAGATACAAATCCATTCTCAGATACATGGTTTGCAAAAATTTTCTCCCATTCTGTGGGTTGTGTATTTACTTCCCCGATGGTATCATTGGTAGCACAGAAGTTCACTTTTTATCTACTTTTTTCTCTTATTATTTGTTTTCGTTTTCATATCTAAGATTATACCTAATTCGAAGTCAATACATTTTGTGCCTATGTTTTCTTCTAAGAGTTTTCTAGTTTTAGTAATTAAACTTATATCTTTGATCCATTTTTAATTAATTTTGTATATGGTATGAGGTAGAGGTCAAACTTCAATATTTTTCATGTTGATACATCTAATTGAACACCACTTGTTGAAAAGACTATTCTTTCCCCACTGAATTGTCTCAGCAACACAGTTAACATTTAAAAAATAATTTCAAAAAATAATTTCAAACTAAAACAAAACTATTTTGAAAATAGTAAAGATAGCCATTCCCATACCACACCCTTATCCACCAACCCCCTCCCACATACAAAACACAACTGAAGGAAGTTATCTGCAGTTGCATGGAATACAGTGCATATAGATCCAGATTACTGGAATCCCCATAATCAATCCTAATTAAATACTAACTTCTAAAAACCACTAATTAGTATCTATATTTCAGAAAGTAGAATAAATTTAAAAAGAAAAGAAAACAAAGTAGACTGAAATCAAAGATAAAAAGTTTAAAAGGGATGTAAAAAGGCTGGGTACAGTGGCTTACACCTGTAATCTCAGTATTATGGGAGGCTGAGGTGGGCAGATTACCTAAGGTCAGGAGTTTGAGACCAGCCTGGCCAACATGACAAAATCCCACCTCTACTAAAAATATAAAATTTAGCTGGGCATGGTGGTACATGCCTGTAATCCCAGCTACTTGGGACGCTGAAGCAGGAGAATCACTTGAACTCCAGAGGTGGAGGGTGCAGTGAGCTGAGATCACACCACTACATTACAGCCTGGGAAACAGAGTAAGACTTCGTCTCAGGAAAAAAAAAAAAAAGGCGGGGGGCGGGGAGGAAGGAGATGTTAAAAAAAAAAAAGGGAAGGAATGCTTAGAGCGAATTTTATAGCTTTAAATGCCTATACAAGTATTAAAATACAATTTATAGGCTGGGCACAGTGGCTCATGCCTATAATCTCAGCACTTTGGGAGGCCAAGGTATATGGATACTTTGAGGCCAGGGGTTAGGGACCGGCCTGGCTAACAGGGCAAAACCACATCTCTACTAAAAATACAAAAATTAGCTGGGTATAGTGGCGCATACCTGTAATTCCAGCTACTCAGGAGGCTGAGGCATGAGAATTGCTTGAACCCAGGAGGAGGAGGTTGCAGTAAGCTGAGATTGCACCACTGCACTCCAGACTGGGCGACAGAGTGAGACTCTGTCTCAAAAAATAAAATAAAGAAATTAGAAAGAAAAGAGCAAATTAAACCTAAAGCAAGCAGAAGGAAGGAAAAAATAAACATAAAAGCAGAAATCATGAAACTGAAATCAGAAAATAACATTCGACCAAAAAAACCCTATGAATTCAAATGTTGTTTCTTTGAAAAGATCAACAACCAGAATGGTCAGTCCCAAAAAGAAAAAAAAAAGAAAAAAAAAAAGGAGGCACAAGTTGCCAAGATCAGAAATTAAAGAACTAAAGATTCTACAGACATTAGAAGGACAACAACAAAAAAGGGAATATCAGAAACAACTTTATGCTAATACATTTGATAACTTGGATGAAATGGGCAGATTTCTTGAAAGATAAAACTAACAAAGTTTACTAAAGAAGAAATAGATAACTTTAAGAGTATTCTATTAAATAAACTAAATTGTTAAAAAAAATTGCCTAACAAAGAAAACTCCAAGCAAAAATGACTTCACTGGTGAATTCTACCAACTAAAATAAAACTATTATAAAATCTACCAGAAAACAGAAGAAAAGGAGGCAATGCTTCTCAATGCTATCTTATGAAGCCACCCTAATTAAACAGTCTTACAAGAAAACTATACAGATAATTATCCTTCATGAACACAATCACAACACTCAGCAAAATATTAGCAAATTAAATCTACCAGGTAAAGTTGGTTCAATATTAAAAAAAAAAATCAATGTAATTCACCATTTCAACAAACCAAAAGAAAACGGTATGATCATCTTGATACCCGTAGGAAAAGAGCATCTGACAAAATTCAACATCCACTCATAACATAAACTCTCAGCAAACCCAGGAATAGAAAGGAATGTCCTCAATCTTATAATCTTAAGATTGTAAAATCCTTAATCAGGCACTCCCTGTATATTCTGCTTGCTCACCTGTAAGCTGAATGGTTCCAAGACATGGAAAAAGGAAATAATATCTACTCTCACCATTCCTACTCAACACTGAACTAAAGATCCTAGCCATTGCTAATAAAATTGTCTTTTATTTCCAAAGACATGATGACCTACACAGACAAGAATCTGCTAAAAAAAAAAAAAACAAAAAAAAAACTGCTAAAATATGTGAATTTAGCAAGGTCATACACAGGGTACAAGAGAAATGTTAAAAAAAAAAATTTTGTTGGCCAGGTGCAGTGGCTCATGCCTATAATCCCAGCACTTTGGGAGGCCAAGGCGGGTGGATCACGAGGTCAACAGATTGAGACCATCCTGGTCAACATGGTGAAACCCCGTCTCTACTAAAAATACAAAAAAATTAGCTGGGCATGGTGGCACGTGCCTGTAATTCCAGCTACTCAGGAGGCTGAGGCAGGAGAATTGCCTGAACCCAGGAGGCGGAGGTTGCGGTGAGCCAAGATCGCGCCATTGCACTCCAGCCTGGGTAACAACAGCGAAACTCCGTCTCAAAAAAAAAAAAAAAAAGATTTTTTATTGGCTGGGTACAGTAGGTCACACCTGTAATCCTAGCACCTTGGGAGGCCGAGGCTGGGGGGATTACTTTGAGCTCAGGAGTCTGAGACCAGCCTGGGTAATATGGTGAAACCCTGTCTCTACAAAAAACAGAAAAATTAGCTGGGTGTGGTGGCTCACGCCTGTGGTCCCAGCTACTAGGGAGGCTGGGGCTGGAGACTGGGGCTGGAGAATTACTTGAGCCTGGTTGGCGGTTGGGGTGGGTGGCGAAGGTTGCAGTGAGCCAAGATTGCACCACTGCACTCCAGCCTGGGGGACAGAGACAGACCCTGTATCAAAAAAAAAAAGAAGAAGAAGAAGAAGAAGAAGAAAGCCAATTTTATTTCTATGCACTAGAAATGAATAACAGAAAATTTAAAATTTTTAGAAGCATCTTCTACCATATCATCCAAAAAACAAATATTTCATAGTCTAAATCTAACAAACTATGTGCCAGACCTATATGCTGTAAATTACAAAATTTTGATGAGAGATATTAAGGACTTAAATCAATGAAGAAATATAACATTTTTGGCCAGGCACAGTGGCTCATGCCTGTAATCCTGGAACTCTGGGAGGTTGAGGCAGGGAGATGACTTGAGCCCAGGAGTTCAAGACTAGCCTGGGCAACATGGCAAAACCCTATCTCTACAAAAAAATACAAAAATTAGCAGGGCATGGTGGTGCGCACCTGTAGTCCCTGCTACTCAGGAGACCAAGGTGGAAGGATCAACTGAGCCAGGGAGGTTAACGATGCAGTCAGCTGTGATTGTGTCACTGCACTCCAACCTGGGTAACAAAGTGAGACCCTATCTCAAAAAAACCAAAAACAAGAAATATAACATATTCATGAATCAAAAGACTCAATGTTGTAAAGATATCAACTGTCCCCAATTTGATCTATACAGATGCTCCTCAACTTACAATGGGTTACAGTCAGATAAACTGGTAAGTCAAAATGCATTTTTTTTTTTGAGACGGAGTCTTGCTCTGTCACCCAGGCTAGAGTGCCAGTGGTGTGATTTCGACTCACTGCAACCTCTGCCTCTTAGGTTCAAGCGAGTCTCCTGCCTCAGCCTCCCAAATAGCTGGGACTACAGGCATGCACTGCTGTGTATGGCTACTTTTTGAATTTTTAGTAGAGATGGGGTTTCACCGTTTTGCCTTTGGGGGCAGCTTGCCTCGGCCTCCGAAAGTGCTGTGATTATAGGTGGCATGTGCCACCATGCTGCCTGTCTAATTTTTTGTATTTTGAGTTGAGATGGGGTTTCGCCACATTGTCCAGGTTGGTCTTGAACTCCTGAGTTCAAGCAATTCTCCTGCCTTGGCCTCCCAAAGTGCTAGGATTATAAGCATCTGGGATTACAAGCATAAGCCACTGTACCTGGCCTGCTGCCTATTTATATAATTCATTATTATTATTTTTTATTTTTATCAGACAGGGTCTTGCTCTGTCACCCAGGCTGGAGTGCAGTGGTGTGACTGTGATTTGCTGCAGCCTCAACCCTCTGGACTCAAGTGATCCTCCTCCCTCACTCTCTGAGTAGCTGGGACTACAGGCATGGGCCACTATGTCCAACTATAGTCCCAGTACTTTGGGAAGCCGAGGTGGGTGGATCACTTGAGGTCAGAAGTTTGAGACCAGCCTGACCAACATGGAGAAATCCTGTCTCTACTAAAAATACAAAATTAGTTGGGCATGTTGGCACAAGTCTGTAATCCCAGCTACTTAGGAGGCTGAGGCAGGAGAATCACTTGAACCCAGGACGCGGAGGTTGCAGTGATTCAAGATCACACCATTGTACTCCACCCTGGGCAACAAGAGTGAAACTTGGTCTCAAAAAAAAAAAAAAAAAAAAAAATCATACATATAATTTAAGTGAGAAAAGACTAGTGACAAAGTGATAGATTTTTAGTAATACTAGCAGAAAACATAGCTGACCATGTCAGGGTAATAATCTATTTTAACTAGGAAAATTGCTAAAGAATATAAACCTAAAATTAACTTTGAAAATATTTTAGCACAAGACTATATGAACTTCCTTACTCTTAAAATAGCTTAAGTAGAGCTATTATTTAAGAATAAAATCAAATTAACTATACCCATGGTTTTCTTCATAATACTGTAGAATACACCACCCTGCTGAAACATGTGAGGAAGTCCCTTTGCATAAGACCATACATCTTCTCCTGTAAGACAAAAGCAGACATAGTATTAGCAACAAGCAAAAGAGTTCCATCTAGGGCTGCTTTAGTAAGGATTAGTTTAGAATAAACATCAAGGCAGAACTCTTAAATGATTGAAACAGCCTGATATGCCATAGAGAGATGATACCGAGTGACAGAATCATGGCATACTAGAAAATGCATGGCCTATCTAAATGTGCCAGCCACTGCCAAGTGTTGTCATGGAAGAGTGCACACCTGGTGTTTCAAGATCACGTGGCTTTTCAAGAGAAGACAGAAATTCAAGTTTTTAATATGAATTCTCCCAATTTCAAAATGTAGGAACTAATTTAAAAGCATCTTTAAAACTGCATGAGTCAACAAAGATGGTGGCTCATGCCTGTAATCCCAGTACTTTGGGAGGCTAAGGCAGGTGGACAGCTTGAGCTTAGGAGTTCTGATACCAGCTTGAGCAACATGGTGAAACTCCACCTCTACAAAAAAAAAGAAATTAGCCAGAGATGGTGGCATGTGCCTGTCATCCCAGCTACTTAGGGAACTGAGGCAGTGGAGGGGCAGGGGGGACCCCTTGTGCATGCAAAGTTGAGGTTGCAGGGAGTGGTGTTTGCATTACTGTACTCTAGCCTGAGTGACAAAGTGAGACCCTGTTTCTAAAACAGAAAAAAAACAAAACAAAACCTCGAGTCAATACAGTTAATATTAGGCATGATGAACAAAATATATCTGAAGACTCAATCCAGCTCAAAGGAAACTAGTCTGTAAACTCTGTACTAGAACAGGTAAAATTGTTGAAAGATATTTTTGGGCCAGGCACGGTGGCTCATGCCTGTAATCCCAGCACTTTGGGAGGCCAAGGCAGGCGAATCACCTAAGGTCAGGAGTTTGAGACCAGCCTGGCCAACATGGTGAAACCCTGTCTCTACTAAAAATACAAAAATTAGCTGAGTGTGGTGGCACATGACCACAGTCATAGCTACTTGGGAGGCTGAGGCAGGATAATTGCTTGAACCCAGGAGGCAGAGGTTGCAGTGAGCAGAGATCGTGCCATTGCACTCTAGTGTGTGCTACAAGAGCAAAACTCCATCTCAAAAAAAAAAAAGATATTTTTCAAAGTAAAATATTAAATTGCACATATAAATTTTATATTTATGTTAAAACCAAGAAATAAACAGAAGGGGCTATTTCAGTATTTATTTCAGTAAAAAGTTTCAAATAAAATGTAAAGAATGATCATCACTGTTGAAGAAGTCAATAAAGAATGGCAGGGCCGGGCGCGGTGGCTCAAGCCTGTAATCCCAGCACTTTGGGAGGCCGAGGCGGGTGGATCACGAGGTCGAGAGATCGAGACCAACCTGGTCAACATGGTGAAACCCCGTCTCTACTAAAAATACAAAAAATTAGCTGGGCATGGTGGCGCATGCCTGTAATCCCAGCTACTCAGGAGGCTGAGGCAGGAGAATTGCCTGAACCCAGGAGGCGGAGGTTGCGGTGAGCCGAGATCGCGCCATTGCACTCCAGCCTGGGTAACGAGAGCGAAACTCCGTCTCAAAAAAAAAAAAAAAAAAAAAAAAAAAAAAAAAAAAAAGAATGGCAGGAACATGGCCGGGCATGGTGGCTCAGGCTTGTAATTCCAGCACTTTGGGAGGCCAAGGTGGGTGGATCACCTGAGGTTAGGAGTTCAAGACCAGCCTGACCAACATGGAGAAACCCCATCTCTATTAAAAATACAAAAAATTAGCCGGGTGTAGTGGTACATGCCTGTAATCCCAGCTACTTGGGAGGCTAAGACAAGAGAATTGCTTGAACCTGGGAAGTGGAGGTTGCAGTGAGCCGAGATTGTGCCACTGCACTTCAGCCTGGGCAACAAGAGTGAAACCCCATCTCAAAAAAAAAAAAGAAAAGAATGGCAGAAACATAACAGTTACTATGGTTGTTTTTATCTGCTTCTTTAAAGTTTATGCTTTAATCTGCTAATGTATATGTATGACTTTTATGATCAGGAAGTTTTTAATTTTAACAAAAATGTCAACTTTTGAATTCCTTACTTGAAGATTATATTGTTGGACCTGAGCTCTGAAAAGTTGTGACAGTGCTAATTAATCACTATGTATTTACAACATATCCGAGTTCTAATCCTGCCCCACATTCATAAACAGAATATGACTTTGTGTGGCAGTGGCTAAACTTATCTTCAGTATACCAGCTTAACGTAGATAAGTTTTAGAAGACTTGGTATTTAAAGTTTCAGTTAACCAAAACATTTACTTCAAACACTACTGATGATGCAGTACTACTAGAACAGCTATATTTAAGGGTGGACACACAGACATTTAAAAATCTGAATATTAATAAGAGTCCACAAATAAAGAAATATATTAATAACCCCTAGTAACTGCTGAACTCATTATTAAACCTCACTTGGATAAATTATTTCTATGATGATAGCCTTTCATTTAGCTATTGTCAATGTTGTCCTAAACATACTTAATATTTTCTAAAATATTCTAGGATAGCATTTATTTGGAAGATACATCAAAAAAAGACACAGCAGTATTTAATTTTTTTGGTAAGAATTGAAACAGGGCTGGTCTGAAGGTAGTTATCTCAACTGACTGTTCAGTTACAGTTGGAACTCCTTGTTCTACCATTTCCCCCCTTCTCACTACCTGCACTTGACTAGTCCAAACAAACCAAAACCACAAGATTCTGAATTGGTGCCAAAATGGTGAACTCCTCAGAACTGACCAACTGATTAATAAGAAAAATCACACCTCTTAGTACTTTACATTACCTATTTATTCCTAATTTAAGCAGGTAAATCACTTAATCTACTGCAGTGTTTCTCAACCTTATTTTCATTATCTCCCCAAAAGGAGCCTTTATAAACATTATTTTCCTAGTCCTCTCCATGCCCTCATGATATTTGAATTACACAGATATACTTTATATCTGTTTATGTACTGCATATACATATTAGTTTTATATATTAATGAGCAAGATTTTTTTTCACCCTTCCTCCCCCAAGAACAAATTTTCACCCCCTTCAAAGCAATATGGCTCCACTGTTCTACTGCTTTAAGGGAAATACCATTTAAGTCCCTATTATCTATCAAGCTCTGAGTAGGCTCTTCACATAGTTTCATTAACTCATCACCACTAAGCCCTACAGACAAGAAAACAAGCTCAGAGAGCTTAAATAACTCATCCAAGATCACACAGCTAGTAAGTGACAGAGCCAGGATTTGAATCCTGTATATCAGTCCAAAGCTTATACCCTCCTTTCCATTGATATAAACCTCTACTAAAGGTCAAATTGGCTGGGCGCGGTGGCTCACGCCTGTAATCCCAGCACTTTGGGAGGTAAAGGTGGGCAGATTACCTGAGGTCAGGAGTTCGAGACCAGCCTGGCAAACATGGTGAAACCCTGTCTCTACAAAAAATTAAAAAATTAGCCAGGCATGGTGGCTCATGCCTGTAATCCCAGCTACTCAGGAGGCTTAGGCAGAATTGCTTAAGCCCGGGGGAGACAGAGGTTACAGTGAGCAGAGGTCATGCCACCTCCAGCCTGGCTGACAGAGGGAGACTCTGCCTTAAAAAAAAAACAACAACAACAACAAAAAAAAAAGAGGTCAAATTGTGTTACAACAAATTTCAAAGACCTATCCAGTCTTTTCTTATAGAAATTCATGGCATCAACAACTGGTTGGAGAAAAAAATAGCTAATTTCTTTTGGTATACAAATATCTCCACTGAAGGTCATGTTTGTTGCTAACAAAAATGAGGAAAAGGATTAGAGATCAGGAAGCAGGGGTTTTAACAATTTGCACAAGTCCTGCACCAGTCTCATACAGCTCTCCACTGCACTCTTCTCCATCCCTCCTAACGCCCAGGTTCAATGCCTAGATTACTGCCAGTTCCTCACAGCCAGTTTCCCTTGAGTTTTATCCCCTCCGCTAAATCCCTCCTCTATACAATCTTCAGAGTTAAACCTATAATGGTTTCCCAAAACCATATGGTAAAGTTCAAGTTCCTTTTCCGTGGCATACAAGGCACTTTAAGGTTGGGCCTTACCTTTATTTTTACAATATAAAACCACCAAACAACTGCTCCTGTTCCCTAAAGGCCAATAATTGTTACATATTCTTTAAAACTCAATCTAGGTATCACTTCCTTTAGGATTCTTTGGAGTGTTGGTTAGGTAGGTACCTTTATTTGATACTCCTATGTATATGAATACCATAACCCTTACCACATTTTACGTTAACTTTTCTGTTTTATTTTCTAGACTAGATTTATTTTCTATACTTTCAGATTCGAGAAAAGGTTGGTGGCCTGTATGACTTTTTATCTCCAGGGCCTAGCACCAGCGCTGAACAAATGGTAGCACTCTTAGTATTGGTTGCATGCATGTACTGATGCGAGCTTGTCCAACCAGCCTTATTTTGTTGTTGTTCTGTTTGGTTTGGTTTTAGGCTTTTAGCAGCTTGAAGCTATGGTTTTTAGTTTCTGTCTCTAGTGATAAGCAGAAAAGAGTGATGAGGAAGGGGCTTTACTGGCCCAACCAGAAACAAAAGCTAAGAACCCCTAACTGTTTTCTCTCCCTTGGACATCCTTGGCAGAGTGACTACTACAAATGAGGTCTTTCTTTTTAAACAGTGCCCGAAAGCAATCCAGAAAAAGCTTAATTGAAGCAGCATGATGATAATCATTCTTCAATGTTACATATATAAAATACAACTAATGATTATATGTCACTGACCTTTCCCTGCATCTGTTTTCTCTTCTAAATCCAATAAAACAAAATAATAGCAAAAACAAAGAGAAATAGTTTTTCTACCATTTTATTCAAAAGTAAACTTTTAGAGAATAGGAACAGTTTGGAAAAGCCTCTACAAATATGTTAATTTATATTTTTGTTAGTCTCCAATTATTTTTACTTTATAATCCAACTGTTTCTTCATACTACAAAAGTAAAACGTGTCTATAAATGTAGAAAAAAAATC